ACACACTTTAGGCACACTGTACAATATTGTTACTATAATCCACATTTTAATAAATTAAAACCAAAAATACGAATAAACAAAAATTATTAATTAATTAGGAAAAAAAAGTGTTTAATTTGTTCGAATTTCTACATAAAAAAAAAAAAAAAAAATAATAATAATAAATTTTAAGTTCTTACACCAAAAAAACCACAGCCTAAATTGTACTAAGTAAATTTTTTTTTTTCCTTAAACGCACCCTTGATTTTTTTTTTTAAACAATATAATTTTTATTTTTTATTTAAAAAAAAAAAAAAAAAAAAACAAAAAAAAGAAAAACCCTTTTAACTTTTAAATAATAATTTTCTTTTGTACAAATATATATATATATATATATATTTAAAAAAAAGAAAAAAAACTTTGGTCGATTTCTAATCACTTTAAATTAAGCTGATTCTTTTAAGTAGTCGTTTGTACGAGATTTTTTCTCTTTGTATATTCGTAATTTATTTATTGCCGGAAGTACTAGTAAAATTGCTCCGGATATGCATATGAAAATTCCAGATACGTAAAATGAAATATCGTAGCTGCTTGTCACGTCGTAAATCCAACCTTAAATCAAAAAATTTTTGTACATATAAAACTTTTTTTTTTTTGAAGAAACTCTATTAGAACCCTTTTTCGTTTTACCTGCTAAGGGTGGTCCAACTAAATTGGCAATCCCTTGCACGAGTAACAAAAGACCGTAAGCATTTGTGAATTTTTCAATCGTAATCAAATCGACAAGAATAATGCTCGTCAAACTGCAATTGGCAGCTATGAAAAAACCGAAAGCTCCAGCGGCCATGTACAGAGTAACGCTCGATGTAAGCAATGGAATAACTCCAGTTGCGGCTCCGCATAAAAACATGCAAACCGCATATGCAATGTTGGCATTGAAATGATCACCGACCCATCCGAAAGCAATTTCTCCAATCATGTTCAAAATACCTTCAAAAAAAAAAAATCGTTTTCTTCAAAACCCGCGCAAACTCCCCCCCCCAAAAAAAAAAAATTGATTTTCAAAGAAGAAGTTTATCAATGTACCTATTGCTGATATGAGATAAGACGCTTCCGTTTTTGAAAAACCTCTTTCGATGGCATTGTCTGCTAAATAAACATACGGTATGTCGTACCACGTGTACAAAAGAAAGTTAGATATGGCAAAAAATAAAAATCTGGCATCCAAGAAATGAGAAAAATCTAACATGACTAATAAGTCCCAACATTCGTACAAACATCCGCATTTCTAAAATGAAAAATTATTTAAATAATTAAAAATAACCCGTTCCGACGGGAAAGAAAGACTCCCTAATCAAACCTACAGGAATTACACTTGTCACCGGATAAAAGTTAAAAATAAATAAAAAAAAAATGTAATATTTACTTCGTCTTTTTCCTCGGCTATTGTTGTCATAGAATTACGATAAATATCAGGGCAACTGGATGCTCTTAATCTGTATCTGTTAATGTTTAGCATTGCTCCTCTGTACGTCAAACTGTGCCTAAAATAATTTTTAAAATATTTTTATCAACAACTACATTAAAAGACCAAGTAATAATAATAGCTACCGTTTTTTTTGTATAACTCACCTGTGAACTCGTAAATTTTTCAAATACGCAAACGAAAATTTTTTTTGAGTCGAGTCAGTTCTTTTGACCCACCACTGCTTTCCAGAAAAGGGTAGAGGTTTTTTAACATTCGACGAAACTGCTAAAGAATTGGGACGTTCCGGAGTGACGGATAAAGGCGAAACAACTTTTCCGGAATGAGGAGATGATACTTCGTTTGCTAACCCGGAATCGCTACAACTTCTAGACGACACCAATAAATTTGGATAATTTTGAACCAAGCACCTATAAACGTTCCTGAAAATTCAAAAAAATCGAAAATTGAATTTTAGTATAAAAAGTTTTTTTAAATTACAAGCGAAACATAAAATTGTGCATCTTATTAGGATTCCGTAATATAAGAAAAAAATATTTTGTTGACGTACTTTTGTTTGCTGAGTAATTCTAAGGCTTCTAAAGGAACTCTTTCTCCGCTTTGAATAAAATTTGGTATGTTTACCAAAGATGTACATTTTAAATCGGTTGCAGGCACACTTAAGGTGTCTTCGTGTGGTTCCGTTTTTCTAGGTATTATAAGTTGAGCATCTTGACCACTAGTCAACATTTTACGCAATTCATCCGTGTTCGGCTGTATGAGTGATGTAGATTCACCGCTGGAAGTGGTGGTTTTTAAAGACTTGTTAGAACTAACGCTCCTGTTACGAATTTTCTTTCTCCTCCTTTTTTTACGATTCTCAATCATTTTCTCTTTAAATTTAATAACAGTCCAGGGAAGATCTCTCATCAAAGCACCGCAAACGCACATATTCAAGAAAAAACCGGCTAAAATTAACGTCGTTCCTCTCCACCCATATTCTTCGAGTAAATACTGGGTTAAGGGGGCAAAAGCAAATGTTCCTATTCCGCTACCGCAAAAAGAAAGACCAGTGGCAAAACTTCGTCTTTTTTCAAAATAATACGCCACGATAACTACAGAAGCTACGTAACACAAACTCAAGCCAAATCCTGAAATAACTCCAAACGTGAGAAACAAAACTTCGATTGAATCTGTGAAAGACGAAATGACGAACCCGAGGGAAGCAAGAATGGCTCCGAAAATGGATACTCGTCGACATCCAAACCTATCCGTTAAAATACTGGCTATCGGACCGGAAAGAAGGGGCATGGCCATAAATAAACTTCCAATGCAAGCAGTTTTACTTTTCGAATCTCCAAAGTATTGAAGAAATTCAACGTAAATAACACCGAACGAGAATGTGACACCGTCTGCTATCATATTCACCAAAAAAGATGAAAATACGACCACCCAACCCCATCCACCATCTGGAGCTTGTGTTTCTGAATAATTTTCTTGACTTGAGTCTTCCGAGCTTGAGTCTGAAGACTCACTGCTAGAACTGCAAAACGTAAAAAGATTTTACAGAAATTTTCAAAATACAAATAAGAAGTTGAAATAAGCAAATAAATTTACTATCGACCTTGAAGAGGAATCGGAAGAACTACTTTCATCGATGGTTTCATCCTGATGAAATTGTACTCGCGGCCGTTCATTTTTTGCTTTGTGATGTTTTCTTTTTTTTGTTTCTTTCGTTGTACCATTCGATTCCACTAAACTTTTCAACTTTTCATCCATTGTCACCTGAAGAACAAAATCAAGTGATGATTAATCACTAATAGTTTTTTTAAATAGGATGTTATCAATACGATTAATCATAACCGACAATTTGACTCACCCCTTCTTTCACATGATTAAGTTTTTCCATTTCTTCTGGATTATCAACCGTTTCGGCAAGAGGACCGGTCGCAATTTTATGTTTACCATTTCCCATCGAATCTAACTTGGATGAATCGATGTCATCCATTTTTTTTTGTAAGGGCTTTTGTTTATAGCGAATAAACAAAACAAATCAACGGTAAAAATTTGATGTAACATGCGATTTTACTTATTAAAATTCATTCTGTAAGTTTCCATTAAAGCACCTGGTAATATTATTTCCATCGTCGACTTTTTACTCATTGCTTTGACCCCAAAAAAAAAAAATTATTCCTCATCTAAATATACAAAAAACTAAAAAAAATAAAAAAGAAAAAGAAAAAACTTACAATTTTTTTTAAAATTTATATTCGGATAATATTTATTAAAATTTGAAAAATTAAATGGCGTAGATCTCCTTAAAAATGTTTGGCTTAATTTGGAGATCATAAAAATTTCTGAGAGGAAAAAAATACAATTACGGCAATTTATTTCCAAAGCCATGCGTCAT